GGGAGTCTGCGGGCGGCGACCTGCTGCTGGCACTGCTGGCGCGGAGGGAGGATCTGCGCCGAGGTGGGTGCTGGCCCGGCGGCTGGGCGGCGAGACCCGAGGGCCTCGTTTCGTCCCGGGTTTGGCGGAGGCGCGCGGAGGCCAGGGACCTGGGTCATCGTGGGTGCGAGGACCCTGGCATTTCCGCGGCCGGGGCCCCAGCTGTGTTTGAGTCGTCCTCTGTGCGGTCCTGGCGCTCAGGCGGGGAGCCCTCGGGGGCTCAGGAGCAGTTCGGGTGCCCCTTTATAGCCCAGAGCCCCAGAACCGAGGTTTGCAGGAGAGGACAGACGGTGTGGCCACTGGCCTTGGTGCACCAGAATCCCCAAGAGGGCTGCCCCACCCGGACCTCCCCACTTTCAAGAGACATATAACAGGGTCTGAGCGAGCCAGGCCTGGTCTGTCCAGTGCCCCTAATTCCGGTCCATTTCAGGCTGCACCCCCACACACACTTGCTCTGTTGGTTGGAACCCCCAGCTTCCTGGTGGCACCAGCTGCGCTCTGGGCTCTCTGGTGGTCTGAGAAGCTCCCCTTCCTCGCTGGGTGCAGACAGGAGGGAGCCAGGCCGAGGCGCAGGGTTGGGGTGGAGGAGGGAGCAGGGGAGGAGAGGGACTTCCTGCCGGCTGTGGGGCCACCTTTACCCTATTTATTTATTTATTTCCAAGGGCTCCTGGGAGGGATTGGCCGCAGGGGCTGGGAGAGGGATGGGGGGCGGAGGGACAGGGAGGGTGGGAAGGAGGGCTCCCAGCGCAGCCGGGGAAAGATTGCCGAGTGGTGCCGCAAACCCCGCCGGCACTGGGTTCCGAGACCCCGCGGGGTTGGAGTCGCCATGCAACGTAAGGCTGGGGTCATCAGGCCTTCGTGGGCCATGCAGGGTGGGAGTGCGGGGCTACAGGTGTGGCAGGTGGGCTTTGCTGCCCGCGGGCTGGGAGGCTGCCCCTCAAGGCGCTGTCCGTACCTCGGTGCTGAACTCCCGCTGTGCTGATGCCTGTCGCTGCTGCGTGTCGGACCGCGGCGCCAGCAGGGTCCCCATTCTCCACATCTGGGTTGTGGTTTTGCCCAATGCGGGTCTGGTTCAGCGTCCCTCGCAGTTTCTTGACTCGCATGAGGAGAGTCAAGGCGGTTTGTGTCCAACCTGGGGCCCAGAGAGTGAGTCTGCTGGGGCCGGCGGTCCCAGGAGGCCTGCAGGGCAGTGAGCCCTGCTGTGGGGTGCAGTATTTATGTCCGTCCAGAGGCCTTTCTGTACTCACTGCATCCTAGCCCCAGGAGCACCCAGAAACACCCCTCAAAGAGCAAGCTCCCACAGGCCACTCGCACGCGCCCACGCATTTCCTCCCTGTCGGCCCTGGGGGAGCAGAGCTCTGAGGATGGGGTGTTTGAGGATGTGCATGAGGGCAAGATGCCTCCCGCATGCACGACCCCCCACCTGGCTGGAAGGATGTGTGGGGTCCCACCCCACTGTGTTTACATGTACCCCATGGCGCCCAAAGCTGGGGGGGGTGCTTTCTGTGCAGTGACACTTGCAGGAGTGGCTTTCCAGTGGCCACAACACTTAATTGTGCAAAGTGAGGGGACTGGACTGGGGCGGGGGTCACAGGTGCCCCATGCCTCCAGGTGACCGTGAGAACCTGCTTTCCACTGGGGCTTTGGAAAGCAGAGCCCCTTGGGGCAGGTTTTCATGGATGCTCAACTCCTGGGGACATTTTGTAGTTGACAGGCGGCCATCCGCAGCTCCCAGGCCTTCCGAGCCTGTTCTGGTCCTCCCTTTAGCTGCGAGTTGGGCGTTGAACGCAGTGCCCCCGCTCCCTGCTCTCAGGGAGCCACTCCAGCCTGCTGGATAGGGGTTTGCGGCGGCACTGGGTCCCAGGAGGGGATAGGAATGGCCGTCGCAGCCGGGCCGGTCCTCGTGCTGATCCTGTGCCCACAGAGATCCCGCTGTGTGCCGGCTGTGACCAGCACATCCTGGACCGCTTCATCCTCAAGGCTCTGGACCGGCACTGGCATAGCAAGTGCCTTCAGTGTAGCGACTGCCACACACCACTGGCCGAGCGCTGCTTCAGCCGCGGCGACAGCGTCTACTGCAAGGACGACTTCTTCAAGTGAGCGGTCTCAAGGGGCAGGGACCGGGCTTCCCCGGGGACGGCAGCACAGTCTGGCCTTTGGAAAAGAGGCCAGGGGTGCAGCCACTTCAGGGACCCCCCCAGACTCCCCCCAAACACAGTAACCAGGTGCTGAGGCCCCCGGATCGATTCACCTCCAGGCAAATGCCGGGCCTCTCCCGCAGCCCCAGGCCAGACCACCCAGGGGCAGAGCTCAAGCTGGTGCCTCTCGTGGGTGGCTGGCCTGGACTGGGTCGTCAGCAAATATTATTTGAAAAGAGAAAAATAATTAAATATGTTTCGTAAATCATTGAAGCGGTCGTTAAAGGAGAAAATCGCCCTTCCAAAAACTCTTGACTTCCTGTCTGGTTTTTGTCCTCGCCGAGAGGAGCTGGCCCCGGTGCCCTTGCCGGCTAAGATCCTTGGGTCTAGGAGACCCCCGGGCACTAGGAGGAATCCGCACCACGGGTGTGCTCCGAGAGCTTGAGGTCCCTTCTCCGCGGTCCGAGCGCAGCTCTCGGGGCTGCGAAGCCGGACGAGCAGAGCGGGGCGGGTCTCCCCCAGTCGCCCTGCGCCGCCGCCGCCGCCGCCGCGCCCGCTGCTCTGAACCCGCTCCGGGCGAAGGAGCGCGCTGAGCCGCCGCCGCCCTGTGCCTCCGCAGGCGCTTCGGGACCAAGTGCGCGGCGTGCCAGCTGGGCATCCCGCCCACTCAGGTGGTGCGCCGCGCCCAGGACTTCGTGTACCACCTGCACTGCTTCGCCTGCGTCGTGTGCAAGCGGCAGCTGGCCACGGGCGACGAGTTCTACCTCATGGAGGACAGCCGGCTGGTGTGCAAGGCGGACTACGAGACCGCCAAACAGCGGGGTTAGTGGGCGCACGGTCGCGGGGCTGGTCTCCTGCCTTCCACCCGGTCCCTCCGCTGCTAACGGGGCTAAGGCTCGGGCCGGGCGGCTCGTGCGCCGCAGCGCGACGCTTTTAGCGCCTTTCCTCCGGCTGCGGCGGCCAGGCTACCACCCACAGGGACAGGAATTTGCAGTCGCGCGGGCTCCGGCGACGCGGGGCCGCGGCCTCGGCGGCCACCCGGTTGAACGCGCAGGGAGGCTGCTGGGCACGAGCTGAAACCGCCCCTGAGTTTCCCTTGACCCCGTATCTGACCCTTCTCGCTCCTTTAGCGCAAAGGGGACGGGGGCACGGAGCGCTGGCTCCGGGTGAGGTGGGGAGCGGCGCGGGGAGCCAGGCCGACGCCACGGCCCCTCTCCTCCGCCAGCCTCCCGCCGGCCGGCCCGGACCACTCGTGGCTCCATCCGCGCGCAGCGCCCGGGCGCGTCGGCCTCGGCCCGGGGGCTCCCGCAGCCGGGCCTCGGGGCTGGGGGTTTCGGGGTGCCGGCGCCTCACCCGATCGCCCTGCGCTGCAGAGGCGGAGGCCACGGCCAAGCGGCCGCGCACGACCATCACCGCCAAGCAGCTGGAGACGCTCAAGAGCGCCTACAACAACTCGCCGAAGCCGGCGCGCCACGTGCGCGAGCAGCTCTCCTCCGAGACCGGCCTGGACATGCGCGTCGTGCAGGTCAGCGCCCAGCCCTGCCGTGCGTCCGGTCCCCGCGCCCGGGGCGCCCTGCGCCGGCCGCGCGCGCTCCGCTGGCCCGGGTCTCAGGGAGGAAGGAAGCCCCGGGGTCGGGAGCCCGGGCCCGAGGCTTTCACTGAGCCCGCCCCGCCCCCAGGTGTGGTTCCAGAACCGCCGGGCCAAGGAGAAGAGGCTGAAGAAGGACGCGGGCCGCCAGCGCTGGGGCCAGTATTTCCGCAGCATGAAGCGCTCGCGCGGCAGCTCCAAGTCCGACAAGGACAGCGTCCCGGAGGAGAGGCAGGACAGCGACGCCGAGGTCTCCTTCACCGGTGCGCGCGGGCCCACCGCGGCCCCTTGCAGGCTCCCCGCCCAGGACCGCGCTGCGCCGCGGGCAGCTTGGGAATGGGCCTCTCCGGCTATTGGCCGCGTTAGCGCCACTTTCAGAGCGAGGACACTTGTAGCTGGTCCCCACAGGCCCTGTCCTTGAAGCTTAGCGAGGGGTTTGGCCACCAGGACCACTGTGGTCCCTGCAGCCCATCCTCTCCTACCCTGGGACTTGCCCAGGGCTGGGGGGTCCAGCTCTGCTCCCTGGCTCTCAGCTGTTGCAGTCATTTTAGGACAACTGGTAGCTCGCGTTCAGAGTTAAGTGACTAAAAGTCCTGACTGCTTGGGTTGCGGGAAGACCTGTGTGGGGGAGCGGTCCCCTGTTCTCTGAGGGACCTGCTTATTTTACCCTCTCACACCTGGGAGACCCCGCCCACCTCTGTGGCCATCTGTTTTGTTTGTGGCCTTAGACACTCATGCAGCCTCACTGAGCCTCCGTTTATTCATCTGCAAAATGGGGGTGCTGGGCGATGTGCCCTCCCTGGGGCGGGGCTGGCTTTCACCCGATCACTGACTCCAGGCCGGGGCAGCTACACTGAGAAACTGAGGCTCTGGGGCCCAGCTGGGCTGCTCTGCCAGTAGCCACTGTGGACGGAGGAATGGAGCTGGGTTGAGGTGCGGGGCAGGAGGCGAGGAGGGAGCAGGGCAGAGGGAGTGAGGGGCTCGCGGTGACTGCTGTGTGACGGGGCAGGTCGCCTGCAGGCCAAGCACCGAGCAGTCTCTCCTTCTGTTGCAGACGAGCCGTCTATGGCAGAAATGGGCCCAGCCGGTGGCCTCTACGGCAGCCTAGGGGAGCCCGCGCCTGCCCTGGGCCGTCCCGCGGGAGCGCCCGGCAGCTTCGCGCTGGAGCACGGAGGCCTGGCAGGCCCGGAGCCCTACCGCGAGCTGCGGCCCGGCAGCCCGTTCGGAGTCCCCAGGTCCCCAGGCGCCTTGCAGAACCTGCCGGGCCCTCAGCCCCTGCTCTCCAGCCTGGTGTACCCGGAGGCCGGCTTGGGCCTCGTGCCTGCGGGGGCCCCAGGAGGGCCCCCGGCCATGAGGGTGCTGGCGGGGAACGGACCCAGCTCCGACCTGTCCACGGGGAGCAGCGGGGGCTACCCCGACTTCCCAGCCAGCCCTGCCTCCTGGCTGGATGAGGTGGACCACGCTCAGTTCTGACCGAGGCCGGCTCCGCCGAGCGCCTCTGGCCCTGCTCCCGCAGCCTGGATGGGCCCCCTGGGAGCTGGCGCGGGGGCAGGTGGCCAGGAGAGGACGTCAAGGACCTGTCGAGGTGCTGCCCGGCGGCCTGGCCTGTGGCCCCCGCAAACTGCTCCTGGACTGGGGTGACCCGCCTGGTGGCCGCCCCACCGGCCCGCGCCGCTCGCCTCCTTTGCAGCAGACCGCTCGCTCCATCGACCTGAGTGCTCTGCTCGGCGTGGGGTGTCGCCTGTCGCTGTGGCTGCAGCCAGCCGCCCGCCCCCACCCCGCCGACTGGGACTCAGGCTGGAAAAGGCTTTAATTTCAGAAATTAACCAACCAGCCACCCCCACACTTGTGCTTTCTGTCTCCAACGCCACACATCTCTGAGTTGTGTAAAGTCCCCGCTTCTAGCGGAGAGGGGCCTGGTGTGTCCAGGCAGGGGTGGCAGTGGGGGGCAGAGCAGTCCACCGGGTCCGTGTGGCTCTGGTGGGGCGTCTGCCCGGCAGTGGCCAGAGAGGACTGAGGTCACTGGGTAGATCCCCGGCCAGGACCCCTGTGCACCCTCCTGTCCAGGGGTCTCCCCGCCAGCCCCCTTCCCCTCAGGGCGGCGGCCAGCCCTGGGGCTTTGTGCCCCTGAGAGCACTGCCCCTCGGAGGCCTGAGGTGGAAATCCTGGGGCCCCTTCTCCTCCACGGCCCATTCTTTTAAAGCATCCCCCAGCTCTCCATTAAGTTGTCACCCTCCGGCAAGTCACAGGCGCCTTCAGCATCCCAGGCTAGTCCTGGCCCCGCTGGTGTCTGCGGCCTGCTGCCAAACATCCCGCCCTCCCTCGGAGTGGCTCTGCCGCACCGGCGAGTCTCCCAAAGGGGAAGGCGGCGGCGGCAAGCCTCTTCCAGCGGACGCTGCTGCTGGTTCCAGGAGACGCCGCAGCGCGCCGACACAAAGCCAGCCTGTGTGTAAGTCGAAGTCATGCGAAAACCCAACCCTCGAACTACCTGTCGGTCTGTGGATGTCCGCTGTCTTTTATTTATTCTCCAATGAACAGCTTTTTCCAAAACTTCAATAAACTTATCAGTTGCAGTCGAAGGTCAGTGTCTTTAGTGAGTGGGGACCCAGGCAGCAGAGGCAGGCTGAGGACACAGGTGAGGGACGCATGTAGGAGATGCAGGTGGGGGACAGAGGCAGGGTTGCATATTGGGGTACAGCTAGGGGCCGTGCACAGGGGAAGCGGACAGGTCACACAGGTGGGGGCACGGGCTGGTGAGGCCAGCCATCTCAGAGCTCCTGGCTGTCACGTCGGGGCACCTGGGTGGGTTTTGGCCCCTTTTGCCCCTAGGTCTCAGCCCAACTTCTGGAAGGAATGGGGACAGGCTCCCCACCCAGGATGAGGCGAGACTCCACTCGGTCCCCAGGTGTGGGGGGCTGGGGCACCCAGGAATCGTGGCGGGGGGCACAGGAGCCCACCCAGCTGGCTCTGGGACTGTGACGGAGGAAAGCCCGGGCACTCAGCGTGGTGGAGCTGGCGGCAGCCTGGGAGAGGCGTGGTTGGAGCCGGCTGCTGACTGACTCACAGCACAGGCATGGCCTCTCTGACTTGATTCCAATCCTAGATGTCTGCTCACTTGCCGCGTGGCCCTGGGCAAGCCGCAGACCCCTCTGAGTCCCATGTCCCCCTACTGAGTGGAGACTGTGGTGACACCTCCCTGGGAGGGGTGAGGCCTTTGAAGCCCCAGCAGGCCCACGTGCAGTGCCTGCCCAGCACAGGCCAGTCCAGGTGGGGCTGGAAGGGGCTGGAGGCCCACTGTAGTTCCCGGCCAGAGGGTGCGGAGGAAGGGTCCCCAGGCCCAGATTCCCTCCCCTGCACACTAATTCCAGGCCAGGGACTCGGAATCTGCCCGGGGGACATTGCAGGCGAGGAAAAGCGCAGGGGCCTAGGGAGGAGACCTCGCTGGAGGTGAACCTGGAAGCGGGTCGCCCTTCAGACGTGAGGGTGCGGATGGCACTTTAGGGACAGACGCCATACGGACCAGGGCGAGGAGCTGGAGAGTGCTGCCTAGGACGCGCCCGGCGGGGCTCGGGGTGGGCAGCTCCCAGGACCGAGGGGCCTGCGGTGACAGGTGGGGCGGGGTCGGGGAGGGGGCGGAGAAGGCTGCTCCGAGGAGGGTCGGCGG